TGTTCTATGTTCTGTTACCGCTGCGGGATTGCTGCGCGTCTGGCTGCTAGAGGGTGATGACCAAATTCTGATCGCCGACTTTTCGAAGCCTGCCTCAGTTCCTAACTGCCTGCAATGCCATTTGTAACCCGGGCAACGTTCTAGCCGGTATAAAGTTCGATGAAAGCGATACCTTGAGGGATGGATGGCTAAGTTTTACGGAGACATCGCCATAGTCTCGAACTGTCCTTTCTCATCAAGGGTTTTGATCAGTAACAGAGGAGTGTTATTAATTTATACATTTTATTTCGGCTATTTTGGCCTCCCTGATTAAGTGTACATATTTAGAGTATATGTTCTTCGTCAGTCTTTTCGCTGCTTATTTTTTTGGAGTCAGGTGATCACTAAGCGGAACCTCTTTTGTCTAAGTTAAATGAACAGCCTTATTTGATGCTGCTGTGTAGTTTTCATTTTCCAAAGTGAGCTACGACGAGGAATTCGCAGTAAACTCTGCTTACTGTTTCGCTTTTCAAATGTTGTGATCCATCGAAAACCCAGTTACGTTTGCATTATTCTTTCATTCTTCAGTCAGCCATTTGATTTTAGAAAGTCATTTATAGTGGAAAATGGATGATTCTGTGAAGATGCTAGTATATCTTGACTTGCTAACCTTAATTTATTCAGTAATTGTTTCTATGTATACGACTAACTCTAGTCATCGGAAGTGATTACAGAGCATTGTGAAAAATTCTAGTTTGTTTATATTGTTGAGAGATCTTGTTCATTAAAAAATTCTGTTAATGATGTGCTGATTAAAAATGAGTGTGAAATTAATATTAGAAGTTATTAGATTTAAATTCAATTAATATCAAATTTATAGGACAAATTTAATAGCAAAATATTCTTTGGCCTTGAAAGTGCCATTTCAAAACATGAAATAAACGCCTTATCATCCTTCTAATGACCACACATATAGTTCTACTTCTGCGTACTTCTCTGATAATCGTTTTAACGAATCTTCAGCTACTTCAATGAGAAAACGAGCATCTTCGAGATAATCTGAGGTCTTGCACACTTGTTAAATCAAGCATTTCATAAATCTTTTATCTGATTATTCTTTCAAGCCTACAGTAATGATTTGATCAATGTTCCCATATTGTGCGATTCATAAAATGAAATATTAAGAAGCCTTCATCCGTTAGAAAGAAATTAATTTCATAAAATTCAATTATTATAAGTAATATTCTGATAGGGAGCCAGAACAACAAAGACTATTGTTTCCTTCACCCCT